ATAAGTAACAATAGATATTACAAGATTTTTGTTAGGTTTCTTAAAAGTTATCTATCATAACATCACGCCTTTTATCCCCGAAGGGGTAGGCAGAGGTGAACATTATGCCACTGTACAATGTAACACCCACTTTTCGGGTTCTCGGGTTCGATTCCCGGGTCGAGCAAAGTATTACTGGGGTTTTTGAAAATATGCAGTAGTAGCACGGAGTCTGGAATTATGCCCGGTATATGGCAATAGGCTCACCCCCGATTACATGGGACTCATAACATAAATAGTGCCATATACCGGCCACATTTCCAGACCCCGTGGTCAGACTCAGACTGAGGTTTTTCGAAAAACCCAGTTATACATTGCCGGACCCGGAAATCAAACCCGAGACCCCTTGTCCAGCAGTCACATCTATATCTAGCAATTATATTCCATAGATATTTTGATAAGTAAGTATTACATGCTTAATGGGTGCAGTGCATTAGACTTCGATTAAAATATTATTCTGAGGCTTCAGACGACCCTGCTGGTTACTGTGGGTTCAGCTAGAACCAGGTACGTAACCGTCCGGTCCGGTCCGGAACCAGGAACGGGGTAGTTTTTAGTTAGTCTAACAGTTTCTCTCGCCTCACCCACAGCTGGAGATGTCATTGGATGATTTGCTCCAATATTGTTAGGTCGCTATAAAAATTATTACTTACCTACTTAAAATATTTTTAGTTCTTATGTAGTTATATAATAATGTAGAAACCTTAATTACTTCTAATTTCTTATATTATAGCCGCCACAATTTTACCATGCGTTTAGTAATGTAGTAAACTTATTTTTTTTCTTTTAAAAGGATCGGATTAACGCAACAGTTTCATGTTCTTTGGCATACAAATGCGACCTGATTACGGATTTTGCATACTCCATAATGTTGGATTAAAATAATTTATCACGCAACACACTCCCTACTGGTCATTACGGCCACGTTTGTTAATTGTGTTTGTAATTAAGGAATTACTTGCACTAGGAGTTTCAAGAGGTCAGTAGGGGTGTGGAATAGAACACAGTATTATTTGCCAATTATTAATCTTTTATTCTTAAGGGGGAAATCATCCAATGACGCCTTCCACCTCACCCAAGACAAGAGGAGTCGTTGGAGTGTCCGGCTATACTTTTCTTTTTTAAAAAACGTTGCCCCACATCAGGATTTTCTCCTGTGTCGTGGGTGCGTTTACATACACACAAGTTCACATACACAATGACACCCAGACCAGAAACAACTATTTTTGGATCACACAAAGTGTTGTTCCGTGCGGGAATCGAATCACGCGAAAATCGCGACACGTTGCACGGCAGCCGGTTGCCCAGCCACCGCGCCAACCGTGCAGACTCGTATCTGACTAAAATCCATCCCGTTCCTTCTGCTTCGAGATGAAGCCTACTGAACCGTTAGGTTGCAGCTCCGGGTCATGCATCAGCATGTTCTTACTGGTATAATAAACTGGTATAATAAACTGGTATAATACCTTAGCAGCCAAACGTATTAATCGACTGAGCTGTTAAAAGGTAAAGAAAATACATGGAAAATCGTTCTGAACCTGGAACTACATGTTTAGGTTTACTACTTCTATAAATGTGTCCACATAAGAAAAGCCAACAATCCTTACTAATATTACAAATCGGAAAGTGAGTTTGTTTGTTTCTTTGTTTGTTCCGCTTTCACGCCGTAACTACTAAACCGATTGCTTTGATTTTTTGCAGACGTAAAGTTTGAAGTCCGGATTAAATAATAGGGTACTTTTTAACCCGGAAAAATTTGATATTCACGAGGGAAAACAAAGTTATTGGTATAGATGGCGCTGTGTGTATTGGTATATGTCACATAGGCTACTTTTTATCCTTTTGTGACACGAGTGAAGCCGCGGGTAAAAGCTAGTATGACTATAAAGTACAGTGGTAAACACCAACATTGAGTCCAATCAGACCCAATCCCAAAGTAGTTAAGCGAAAATCCAGGAGAAAGTAAGTAACTGTACCAATATTGTGAACGAAACTAGGCGATAAAATGTCCATTAAACAACCTAACCTTACTATTAAACAGCACTATGTTTTATCCTAAATAACCCCCAAACTTAAATACTGGTTTAGCTAACTATTTTGCAGTGTTTTAAACTTGAACAGTTAAGGCCTCTTGGTTACGCCAATGTCCTTATTCCGGCCTGTTCCGAATGAAGATGGTTTGAATTTTAGCGAATAGGCGTCGTTTGAGAGTTTGGAAACTTTTGAAATTATAATAAGTCACTGAGATAGCTCATGATAAGATAAGCGATATCGATGGTTTCTTGCAATTGGCTACCATTAAGTGAAATGATCATTTTAAGATTAACTCATATGAGTGTTATTCGGTTTTACTTTGGTAAAACCTCTGCCTCTGACTGCCTCATTGGCCGAGTGGTCGCAAGTGCGACTGCTGGGCAAGAGGCCTCGGGTTCGATTCCCGGGTCGGACAAAGTATAACTGGGTTTTTAACAAAAATTTCAGTAGTAGCACGGAGTCTGGAATTGTGCCCGGTATATGGCAATAGGCTCACCCCCTATTACATGGAACTCATAACATTAATAGTGAAAAGTGGGTGTTACAGTGGTGGCATAATGTATGTACACCACTGCCTACCCCTTCGGGGATAAAAGGCGTGATGTTATGTTATGTTTAGTAAAACACCAAACTGTCACATGCGACTCAAACTTGGTAAAAGACATGTTCATAGTACAAAAACGACACCAAAAAGCGTACTAGTCTAGAATCTTAGGCATTCTAACACAGAATAGGTACGTCAGTTGGCGCGTCGCCAAATTCCAGCCAGAGTCTTAGGCAGACTCAAAAGTGTGTATTTTCACAGCTCATTGACCAAAAACGTCCAAAATCCACGTCAATAAAATTGTTTCAATATCATTACTTAGTTGCTTTGTGTTAGGATTTTAGAAGAAACCTTATTAGGAAGCATTTTCTTGTCCAATTACCTCGTCCAGTGTATATTTTTGTGGTGATTCTGATTTAGATTAATTAGTTTATGATCGTTCGAAAACATTATCGATATATCTATATATATAAAATTCAAAGGTGATTGACTGACTGACTGACTGACATAGTGATCTATCAACGCACAGCCCAAACCGCTGGACAGATTGGGCTAAAATTTGGAATACAGATAGATGTTATGACGTAGGCATCCGCTAATCTATATATATAAAATTCAAAGGTGATTGACTGACTGACTGACTGACATAGTGATCTATCAACGCACAGCCCAAACCGCTGGACAGATTGGGCTAAAATTTGGAATACAGATAGATGTTATGACGTAGGCATCCGCTAAGAAAGGATTTTGATAATTTCCACCCCCAGGGGGGTAAAAAAGGGGATGAAAGTTTGTATGTAACTTTGTCAGTTTTTAACTGATCGGGTTGAAATTTGGCATGCAGATAGATGTTATGACGTAGGCATCCACTGTGAAAGGATTTGGATAATTTCCACCCCCAAGGGGGTAAAATAGGGGATGAAAGTTTGTATGAGACTTTGTTAGTTTTAAACCGATCGGGTTGTGATTTGGCATGCAGATAGATGTTATGATGTAAGCATCAGCTGTGAGAGGATTTTGATGATTTCCACCCCCAAGGGGGTAAAATAGGGGATGAAAGTTTGTATGAGACTGTCAGTTTTAAATCGATCGGGTGTAAATTTGGCATACAGATAGATGTTATGACGTAGGCATCCGCTGTGAAAGGATTTTGATAATTTCCACCCCCAAGGGGGTAAAATAGGGGATGAAAGTTTGTATAAGACTTTGTCAGTTTTACACCGATGCGATGAAATTCGGCATGCAGGTAGATGTTATGACGTAGGCATCCCCAAGTAAGGATTTTGATTATTTCCACCTCCAATGGGGTAATGTAGAGGATTAACGTTTGTATGAAGCTTTGTCAGTTTTACACCGATCGGTTGATATTCGGCGTGCAGATGGATATTATGACGTAAAACGTCCCTTTAGAAAGGTTTGTTGAAACATTCCCCAAAGTGGGTAAAATAGGGGGTGAAAGTTTGTATGATACTTTGCCAGTTTTAAATTGATCGGGCTGAGACTTTGCATGCATAAAGTTGCTATGACATAAGTATCTCATTAGAAAGGATTTTGATAAATTCCACCCCTAAGGGGATAAAATAGGGAATGAGAGTTTGTATAAATCTTCTTAGCCATTGAATTTAGAATCATTGATCTTTTTGAATTAAATTCGGTAAAACGATGATTTGGGACCTGGGTAACGTATGATAGTTTTTTCACAGATGTCTCACAAGAACGGGAACTATGCGTCAATGCCCCAGGACTCTCTAACTCTTAACCACTGAACTTATTCTAGAGAGATTAGGTACAACAATAGTCGATAGAATAGTTTTTATTACTCAAACCTTACGTGATCGGGCACTGTACTGGTAAGATCCCTGCGGGATTATTTATTTATTGAAACTACGATAAAACATTTCAAAATAGGTAAATCTTACTTGGGCACTGAATTGATTCTGGTTAATTCTGTCAGAAGTCATTAATCTACGCGGACGAAGTCGCGGGCAACAGCTAGTCTATATATATAAAATTCAAAGGTGATTGACTGACTGACTGACTGACATAGTGATCTATCAACGCACAGCCCAAACCGCTGGACAGATTGGGCTAAAATTTGGAATACAGATAGATGTTATGACGTAGGCATCCGCTAAGAAAGGATTTTGATAATTTCCACCCCCAGGGGGGTAAAAAAGGGGATGAAAGTTTGTATGTAACTTTGTCAGTTTTTAACTGATCGGGTTGAAATTTGGCATGCAGATAGATGTTATGACGTAGGCATCCACTGTGAAAGGATTTGGATAATTTCCACCCCCAAGGGGGTAAAATAGGGGATGAAAGTTTGTATGAGACTTTGTTAGTTTTAAACCGATCGGGTTGTGATTTGGCATGCAGATAGATGTTATGATGTAAGCATCAGCTGTGAGAGGATTTTGATGATTTCCACCCCCAAGGGGGTAAAATAGGGGATGAAAGTTTGTATGAGACTGTCAGTTTTAAATCGATCGGGTGTAAATTTGGCATACAGATAGATGTTATGACGTAGGCATCCGCTGTGAAAGGATTTTGATAATTTCCACCCCCAAGGGGGTAAAATAGGGGATGAAAGTTTGTATAAGACTTTGTCAGTTTTACACCGATGCGATGAAATTCGGCATGCAGGTAGATGTTATGACGTAGGCATCCCCAAGTAAGGATTTTGATTATTTCCACCTCCAATGGGGTAATGTAGAGGATTAACGTTTGTATGAAGCTTTGTCAGTTTTACACCGATCGGGTTGATATTCGGCGTGCAGATGGATATTATGACGTAAACGTCCCTTTAGAAAGGTTTTTGAACATTCCCACCCCAAAGTGGGTAAAATAGGGGGTGAAAGTTTGTATGATACTTTGCCAGTTTTAAATTGATCGGGCTGAGACTTTGCATGCATAAAGTTGCTATGACATAAGTATCTCATTAGAAAGGATTTTGATAAATTCCACCCCTAAGGGGATAAAATAGGGAATGAGAGTTTGTATAAATCTTCTTAGCCATTGAATTTAGAATCATTGATTCTTTTTGAATTAAATTCGGTAAAACGATGATTTGGGACCTGGGTAACGTATGATAGTTTTTTCACAGATGTCTCACAAGAACGGGAACTATGCGTCAATGCCCCAGGACTCTCTAACTCTTAACCACTGAACTTATTCTAGAGAGATTAGGTACAACAATAGTCGATAGAATAGTTTTTATTACTCAAACCTTACGTGATCGGGCACTGTACTGGTAAGATCCCTGCGGGATTATTTATTTATTGAAACTACGATAAAACATTTCAAAATAGGTAAATCTTACTTGGGCACTGAATTGATTCTGGTTAATTCTGTCAGAAGTCATTAATCTACGCGGACGAAGTCGCGGGCAACAGCTAGTTTGTATTATAATTTTCGGGACACTTACTAACGGGACAAACACGTAAGTCCCCTAGAATGGCTTGAAAGTAGTCGAGTTTCCTGTCGAACAGTTACGTGAGTAAGCCGAAAACATTATTAAAATACAGGGTCAATAGTTTTTATTGCTCTTTAAATTATTAAAAGAAATATTCATTATTAGGTACTTATATCCAAAATACCAATATTGACACTATATAATCAAATATTGACACAAAGTAATTATAATAATATTACAAATGTAATAGATACATAAACAAAGTTGGTGTGGAAAATAACTTAGTAAATACCTAAATATAAAAAGAACAAAATATTTTATGAAAATTATTAGGTATGTTATAACCAAACGAAATATGAGTAAAAAGAGAGAAGGCTATCGACACACACATTTATTACTACTTCAATTGTTTTACAAATTCGCGGGCTCCGCCTCGCACATAGATCATCTATCACCACAGACTATACTATGACCATAGAATACACCACAAATACACAACAAAAACAATCATTCGTAACGTTTGTAACTATTTAAATTATTTTCCCGTTAATGGCGGCTGTGTAAAAGCGCGGCAACTTGTCGAACTGTCATTGATCTGTCACTGTCTAACAATAGAGATGCACCACAACGCAATATCTGGCGCGCTCATTTAACGATTCAATATCAGGCGTTGCATTTCAACAGGATAATACAATTATCTTTCACCACTGTAAAACCTACTGGAAATGTTTTCTTTCCATTATTTTTTCATGACTAAAGAGTAAGTAATGAGTCGAAATACATAATAACAACTCTTCAAGTTGATTGTACTCAGTGTAACATTAAAATGCAATTCTATATTCGAATTTCAAAATAATTGCATGTCCAGATACGTTTTTTAAAAGTGTTGCCAGTCATCATTGCATTAAAACCTCTTTAACAGACGTTTTGGTCTTAAAAACTATCTATAAATATCCATTTCAGTAACTAAGCAATAAAATGACATGTTTCAACAACCCACAAAACAGTTTAACGTTCCCAAAAGATGTTTTAGATCGCAATAAATAGAAAACTTGTATCTATTCGCTGACTGCATCGTCTAGACGTCTTCTGTGTTTAAAGTTAGCGAATTTGAACACTGCTACACGTCAGACTAAACAAACCATTATAAACTGAACGTTCAATGTGTGAAACTTTCATACAAACCAAGGCCAGGATATACTGGATTAGTTTAGGTTGATGTGTAAAGCCATGTGTACCTACATGAGTATTATTTTGCTGCAAGGACCAAAGGACAGATGTAATCCCTGCTTAGGTTAGAATTTGTGGATACTACATTTGGTATAACAAATTTTAATAGGTACTATCAGTTTTCAGCTTTTGTATTTTGATGTGTGCTTATTTACTTGTCGTTGTTGTTGTACAATTTAATGATAAAACATCGTTATCACATTCTTACTGTTCTCTCAAGCTACTTGGGGGTCCGCAAAAACTTTTTAGTAAATATTGTCCCATACTAGGAATTTCCTATGTGTCATGGGTGCGTTTTTAAAGTGTGGGAGAGCCATGTTTCGGCACGAATGGGCCGGCTCGACCGGAGTGATACCACGGCCTCACAGAAAACTGACGTGAAGCAATGCTTGCGTTTTGTTTTGTCGTGTGAGTGAGGTTATTGGATGCCCAATTACGCTCTCCTCACCTCCCCAATCTCTCCAATCCCTGAATCGCTAACAATCCTCAAATTCCTAATCCCTAAAAGGCCGGTAACGCACTTGTAACACCTCTGATGTTCCGGATGTCCATGGAAGACGCTGATTGCTTACCATCAGGTGATCCGTTTGCTGGTTTACCGGCTTATCCCATAAAAACACAAGAATAGCTCCGTGCAAAACTCAAACCCGCTAGTCGTTGGATGGCATCTGGTAATCCAGCCACCGCACCAATCGTGCAGTTCTTTTTCTAGTCTCCATTATCAGACATCATTCTTTTCCCTTTCATATCTTCACACATCCTACCGATCTTTCTTTGATCATCCTCTCTACATTTAACTCAGCCTCCCGCTTTTGTCACTCGATTTTCATCCTTAAACTACTAAACAATATTTAGCATAATTCCTTAACTCCTGGGATATGCAGCAGTGATATTCACCGTGACGACCGCTAACCACACGGGAGCGTCTCTTGAAGACACAGTTACCGTCTACTACAACCAGCTTTTGTCTCGAGTCGACATTATTGTATCATTATTTCAGTTAACTCAAGAATATTTTACGCTGAGTGGGATATTTAATACTAGCTGAAAGATATAGTTTACATTTTATTTAAGTCTTAGTAAGACTTTATAATGAATGCCTCGTTGGCCGAGTGTTTGCAAGTATGACTGCCGGGCAAGGGGTCTCGGGTTCGATTCCCGGGTCGGGCAAAGTATTACTAGATTTTTTCGCAAAATCTCAGTAGTGGCACGGAGTCTGGGATTATGCTCGGTATATGACAATAAGCTCACCCCCTATTACATGGGACTCATAGCATAAAATAGTGAAAAGTAGGTGTTTCATTGTACAGTGGTATTAAAGTGCCGTAACGTGCACCTCTGCCTACCCCTTCGGGGATAAAAAGGCGTAAAAATGTTAATCTTTTTAAGAAAAAGTTTCCTTCTAGAAGCAAATCAATGGACGAGCATGGATAAAGAGGTATGAATGTAGATGAAGCGAAATAGGTATATCGGAATCGTATACCTAGTTCATAGTCATTACTGAAATAATCCCTGATTGTGGTACCAGATGCCAAGATGTGACGAAAGTCTTCATTATCAAGGAAGTATGTATGGGTCATACTAGATTGCATACGCGCGCATCATGGAGTCATCAGACCACCACAGATAGGGATCCACGATACGGAGCCGCGGAGGGCTTAACGGGTTGCCGGGGCTCCGGCTTGCAGTGCAGGTTTTTAGTCTGTAAGAGTCTGACACTGCCTCTCGCCTCACCCGGGCAGGAAAAGTCATTGGACGACCCCTCCCCCCAAAGAGGAGTCATAGCTGCATTGCTGGGAAGCTATCAAGTGTGTTGTCATTTCTTTCCGAAACACCGTACCTGGCTGCCTGGTTTCCACTTTGCGTTTACAACCACAATAAAACACTGTTATTCCTGACCTACAAATAGTTACATACTTGATATCATCCAAGCTACCCCACAAACTAACTTATGTGTTCACATAACAGAGTTATTACGGTGTAAAATACTGTTTATGCAAATCCTTTTATAATTTGATAACAACCGAGTTCGCGTGTCAATACACCATGGTTGGCTGGCTAATATTACCTAACCTAGCCTTATTATGCTCTACAATGTCGAGGAATATACTTCGATGCTATTTTTATAAAGACCTTAGCTTTTACCTGAGAATTTGATCACTCTGTCTATAGTTAGCGCAATAATAAGACCCACATTCCACCCAAGACACATCTCCAATTCTCAAATCGATTAAAAGGCTGATAATGTACTGTGAAATGTGCTTGGAACTCGTCTGGTGTTATCGGTGTCTGTGGCCGGCGCACATAATGGGTATTTCCATAATTTACACGGCCAAAAGTTCCAATATCAAAATAACGGAACATACTTAATTTGTATTCCTTGAACAAAGGACGAACTATAGAATAATCCTAAGGTGCCACCGCGCACACCTCACCGGTAGCATCAGTCGGAATCGCACTTACTATCCGGATCGGATCCGCGTCTTTGTATATTGTTATATCCCATAAAAACACTAGATATTTTTCGAACTTTAATTTGCTTTAGGTACAGTTAGAAAAATCACAACAAAAATGTTTATAAGTGCAGTATGTGCACTATAACACAAAGTGAAGTGAAGTGTCGTGGTGGCTCGGAGGTTTAAACTGTCAAACACCAAGCGGTCACCGGTGACCGCAACCTATTGTTCTATAATTGTGTCTATAAATACGGTACTCGACGAGTTAAGACGGCTTCTCATGCATGAGTGCAGGTTCAACACCAACGGCAAGTACCAATGTGACTTTTTCCGACTTATATGTACCTTCTAAGATTATTTAGACACTAGTGACAAACGGTGGAGGAAAGTATCGTGAGGAAACCTGGGCATATAATTGCTAATATAATTAGTTTGAAATCGCCAACCCACATTCAGCAAGCGTTGTGATTAATGGTCAAACCTTCTCCGTGTGAGGGGAGGCTTAGCTCAGCAATGGGCATTTAGAGGCTGTTGATGTGTGCACTATAACACATTAATAAATCGTCAAAAACTACCTTTTGTATAATGATTCCTCGAACTATTTCTTAGTAACGATTTTGTTCCAGACTAGGTTAAATAACTACTAAATGACTTTGAGTACGACAGCTAGACATTTGACATAATTATCTAGACAATAAAAGAGTCGTATTTCTAACACGACTTGACTGAAATAAATATTCATTTTGATACCATGTATTCCTTGAATGAAATACTAAAATTACTCATTTTTGATACAAAGCCCTACTTGAATTATATTTACATACACAAACAATTGTTAACAATATAATCAACAGAACCCTTTATGTTCAAGGACCATGTTTTGTCCATGGTAGTCCGAAAGGGTCAGTGTTCAGTAACAAACAAAAACTTGAGGAATCAAGTAGCCGTGTGCTAGTTATGTGAGGCACACACTGTGCAACTGCTCGCTGCTACTGTTCAGCGACTGTGTTGCTATGCTATAAGACCTGTATGTATGTATGTTTGTTTGTTTTAGCGCTATTATCTCGCTATTGGCTGAACCGATTTTCAGAAAAGTATTTGCTACACTTTTTTTTTTAAGGGGACAAAATCATCGAATGACTGCTCCCGCCTGGGTGAGGCGGAAGGGAGTGTCAGACTCTTACTGACTAAAAACCACCCCGTTCCTTCTCCTGCACGTCGAGCCGGAGCCCCGGTTACCCGTTAGGTTCTCCACGACTCCGAATCGGCATCGGCCCTAT